CATATGGGCAGGTGGCCATGGAGGCTTTGTGTGGACTTAGTAGAGAGCTACTCAGAGTGAAACAGGATTAAAACCCTTTTATAATGAAGGGAACAATTGTGGCAGATCAGTGCAACACTTGAAAGTTTAATAGGTGCTAACAAAAGGCATTGGTCTAGTCAGTTACATAGAATAATAAATACAATAGGCCTCTAAAAGAGTATATCCATAGAAGAAAAATGATAGTAACCTGATCTTAGTATATACAGAACATTGCATTCTGTTACTAGAAGAGTGAGGTCACATTTTAAATGAAGCAGTTGTAGGCGTAATTCTCCAACTGGTGTAACTGCATTGGGCCTGATTCTGATCTCTCATTGGATTTACACTCATTTAATTCCATTGACTTCAGTGAGGTTACTCCTGATTTTTCACTGGTGTAATTGAACTTACAGTCAAGACCACTGAATGCATTGGAGATACTCCGGATTAACACCAGTGTAGCTAAGATCAGAATCTGTGTTTGTTTATTGTAATCTGGAGGTAGTAGATGGATGGCGGGATGCATATACTGCCATGGTTTATCCAGTTGCACCATGTGTTATGCTTGGATTTCTGGACTGCTGAAACGATCTACTCTGCAGGCTTGTTCTTTTATTCTGTGTTGCAAGAAATGCATATTGGTTGGTGGGGAGAGTCCATTAATGCGCAGAAGATGTAGACCTACCAGGCTTGCTATGTTTGTCTCTACTTCTTTTAATGTGTTTTCTCTGTATCAAATTATTCAGTTTGATGCTCGGGGTAAAAAAAAATTTTTTTTTGCTCAAAAATGTTGCCTTCTTGAATGTGCTGGATTCCTGTTTAATCCTCCACTTCAGTGGAGTGACTCTGGGTTTAATGGCTCCAGGCCTTAACCATGGTTAGGAAGATACAGAACAAGTGAGGTTTTTTCGCATGTAGAGCCCCTCTCTTCTCGCTCTTACCAGAGGGTAATGAGTTCATGTTCTGGTCTCACTGAGTAGAGAGGTGATAGAACTTGGTGTAAATTGGCAGAACTCTGTTAAAGTCAATGGAACCATGTCGACACCAGTAGAGGATCTGGCCGATTGTTTGTTTGTTTTGAGGTGCTGGGCAAAGACATCAATATGATTTAACCTTTGGAGTATTGACTTTATACCTCTGGGTCTAGATGATCTTGGAATCCTTTTCTAGTGAGTTTCAGGGATTCCAAGGCATGCTTATGCTGGAAGGAGAAGAATAGGAAAAAATGGTGGTGGTCTCACAAAGTGAGACTTGTCCAATGCCAGCTGTGTGAAA